TCCATGGAAAGGTCAGCGGTGGGGTGGGATCTCCAGGACTGGGAAGAGCAGCGGGAAGAGCAACGAGCAGGATCTCCAGGGCTGGGAAGAGCAGGATCTCCAGGGTTGGGAGGAGCAGGATCTCCAGGGTTGGGAAGAACAGCGAGCAGGATCTCCAGGGTTGGAAAGAGCAGGATCTCCAGGGTTGGGAAGAGCAGCAAGCAGGATCTCCAGGGCTGGGAGGAACAGGATCTCCAGGGCTGGGAAGAGCAGGATTCCAGAGTTGGGAAGAGCAGCGAGCAGGATCTCCAGGGTTGGAAGGGGCAGGATCTCCAGGGCTGGGAGGAGCAGCGAGCAGGATCTCCAGGGCTGGGAAGAGCAGTGAGCAGGATCTCCAGGTTTGCCTCATGAAGGGCTGGCAGGAGCTTGGCGGGGAGAGGTGTGGGGGTGTTTTGATATTGTAATTATTTTTCTATTTTCCTCCTAATTACCGCCACGTGCCCCGTGCTGCTTTCGTGAGAGATTCGTTAACTCTGTGCTTTAATCCAAATAAACCATCACCTCCTTCTGCCCCTCCCTCTTGAAAACTCCTCAGGCAGGAGCAGCACAAGCCCCTCACCTCTTGGGGGAGGCTGCCCTGGCTGTGGCTCCCCTCTTAGCCCAAAGGGGAGAAATAATGATGGAATTTACCAGAGTCAAATGTGCTGAGGCATGTGAAGGCAGATACTTTGTAATATGGAAGCAAAATGGGGCAAAATTACCATCTTAATTGTATTAATGTTGCCAATTATAGGCAGACCCCAGTGTTGCTCAGCAGGAACGTTCTGGGAGAGAAGAAAAGACAAATTATCTGCAAACTCCTTATTTTGTCTTTGTGAATTACCACCCCAAGGTACGTAATTGAATCTCTAGTCCTGATCAGTGAACATTGTTCAGGGAGTGAATTAAGAGAAGGCCCTAAAGGCCTGCTCTGTTTTGTCCCAATTAACACAACCACCAGATTTCTCCTCTTTTTTTAAGGGTTTTTTTTCAGATTTTTTTTTTAATGACTACACAGTGAAGCGTTGAGTTGGAGAAGAGAACATGGGTTTAAATAATTTGATTTCTGCCTGGAGATCAAATTTGGTGTGTGGATGTCACTGTGCAGGCTGTGCCACCACCCCTTTGAGCACCACCAAAATGGGACAGAGCAGCTGAGAGCCTTGTTGGGAGCGTGGAACCCCATGGCACCTCCCATGGTGGGGGGCTGCCGTGCCCCCACGTGGAGGGGAGGTCACAGGGACAAAGCCTGGATGGGACACCCCAGGCCAGGGTGCTGCTGTCCCCAAAATCACCTGGAGAGTGGAAGAGCTGCCCTTGGCTGAGCCCCGTGGAGTTGGGTGCTGTGGGAATCCAGAGCTTCCCTCTGGCTGCCCTGGAAGGTCTGGGACCCTGGCAGGGGTCAGGAACACCCCTGGACAGAGCCCCCAGAGACACTGGCTGTGATCTCTGTCCATGGAAAAGAGTTTTCAATCTTACAGGATGAATTACAAGCTCTGAGTGTTTGATATAAGCAATAATTAAGTGTGGCATGGGTGCAAAAGTAAAATTTTAGGATTCTAGATGAGGGGTCCAAAGGGGACAAGATGGAGGAAATTGGGTGTGCCTTGTCCTTTTTCTCCTTCTTCATGCCCTCCATGTTTCACTGTGGTGTTGGCATTTTTCTGTTGGTTCAGGCTGGGGACACACTGTCCAACGTAGGTGACAGATATTGGCACGTTATTGTAAATCCAGCACAGGTAGTTTCTGGTATTTAATGTTTGTACCATCCCACTGAGGGCAGAGCCCCACACGCTGCCCTGCAGGACAGAGCTGCGGCAGGGCAGCAGAACATGTGAGAGATAAACAGAATAAACAACCTTGAAACAGCACAGACCAATTATGGCTTCTGCTTTGGCAGCGGGGCAGAAAGAGACTTTCTACAATCTTGGGATCATCAATACCACAGATTTTGACAGGATGCTGCTGGTGTGAGAGCTTTGTGCAATAAGAGCACAGAGGGGACAGAGCTGTCCCTTCCTCTGAGCCAGGGACAGACACCAGCCCTGAGCGTGGGGATGGGCCCTGTCCTCTTCTGGCTCTCCTCACAGGTGAGAAATGTAGGCAGTGCTTAGTTCAGACTGACCAATTTAGAGAAAATTCCCAAAAGGGCAGCCCAGCTGCATCAGTCCTTTTGATTTTACTACATAAATTTGTGTGTTCCAGGAATATTTTCAAACCTTTGAATCTGTTCTCTTATTTAGTAAAGAAAGGAAGCAGTCATGGGTGAGTTTTCCTGTGTGCTGCTGGATTGGACCTGCAGCCTCTGTAATGCTGTAGGTTCATTGAGTTTTTTTAAAGCAACATTTCAACTGGAAGAGGGGAAATTTGGGTTATGAACAGGGGAGAAATCCTTCCCATGGAGGGTGGGAAGGGGCTGGGCTGGAATTACCAGAGCAGCTGAGGCTGCCCCTGGATCCCTGGCAATGCCCAAGGCCAGGCTGGACACTGGGGTTGGGAGCACCTGGGACAGTGGGAGGGGTCCCTTCCATGGTAGAGGTGGGATGGGATGGGATTTAAGGTCCTTCCATCATTCTGTGCCTAATCCCAGCCATGTAATTTAGGGTTAGCCCAGTTCATATGTTGCTTAAAATTACAGCGTTAGAAGTGGGAAAAAAAAAAAAAAAAAAAATCCCAGATAAAATAGGCTACACAGAGGCTGATTCCCTGTATTTTACTTTGAAAAGATGAGTTGGCTCTGCCCCAGTTCCATACTTTTGGAGCAGGAGGAGCGGGAATTTGGGGTTACAAGGAACTGACTGTTCTGACTGGGGCCAGGTTTTATTCTGGGGATTTCCTCCTTTCCCCCACAGTGACTCGAGCCTGTCTAGGGAAGGGCTGCACGTCTGCCAGGGCTGTGGTCAGGAGAGAGCCTGGCTTGGCTGGGGAAAGGGCTGTTCCCCTGGAGAGAGCTCTCCAAGAGCATTCCCACCTTCCCTCTGTGTCCTGGTGTGCCTCCTGCGCTGTCAGTGTCATTTTCAGGAGCAGGGATCGTTCAGGAATGCAGGATCCAGCACGTCCTGGCCTTGGCCAGATCCTGAAGGTTCATTAATAACAATTCCAGCTAAGTGCTCAGCACTTGTCCTGCAATGCCAAGGGAGAGGTGACCTGCAGGGGAGCCCTAGATGGGATTCCTGGATCATTCCTGGGGGATGATCCTCTGGAGCTGAGCTCCTTCAGGCTGGCCACAGGCACATCTGGGAGCCCTGCTGGGGGTGTGCAAACAGGCACGAGGGGCAGTCAAAATAAATCCCGTGGAATTCTTTCCATTGTGTCCCACTGAATGCAGAAGCTTGGATGATGAAGCCACGAATTCCAGAGCTGGGGCACCTGGAACGGCGCCTGCGGGGAAGGGGAAAAAATATTGTAAAACATAATGATCAAACAGTGGGGGAGAGTGAGGGCCGTGAAAACATCAAAAGTCGTGGCAATTGTTTTGGATGAGAATGTTTTTAAGAGTCCCTGTTTGTGTTGGACAGGAGAGTTTGCTTTGAACAATGGGTGAACTTTGCAAGGCAGGCAAAATCCACTCTCCTCACCAAGAGGAGCTGCTTTTCTTGTAAAAAATATATACAGATATTTATAAAAATGGGGGGAAATGGGAAAACAAGTGTCTTGCTGTTTGGCTGTCGTCTCCTGGTGTTTCTCTCCACTGATGGGGATAGGGCTGGGTGAATTTTGTCCTTTGTTGGTTGTGTGGGTGAATTCCCAGGGCTCGTGGCTCTCCAGGTTCAGGCACAGCACATACATAGCACCAGGGCCCAGAGCCTTCTCCCTGTGCCACCAGAGCTGCCTGGCACACTTGGGTAAACCCATCCACTGACCCTACACTGTTGCTGGGTTTATGCTAATTTTTAATATTATGAAGACACCCAGGACACTTCAGATTTGCATTTGTGTCTTACCAAACATTGCCATGCAGAGATTTGGCCCCATGGGTCAGGAATGGGGACACTGCAGCCAAAACAGGCTGGAGAGGCACCACTGCCCCAAGGCTGGGGCTCCTGCTCTTGAACGCATCTCCAGGGATCTGATGAAGGCATCTCCAGTTCTCCCTTTGCTGATGTGAGCTGGGGAATGCTCTCACAACAGTCTGCATTTCAGCCCTCTGCTTGAATTCGGGTTGCAAGCAGGTCTGTCCTGCTCAAACAATCCTCACCAGACTCCAAGCAAGCACTCACCCCAGGTAAACAATTCTGCAAACACATTCCACATAGGAAAAACACGGAGCAGAAATATAAATTATTTTCTCTTTCATTTCTCTCTGTGTACCTCTATGAAAATCCTGAGAGAGAGAGAAATGTGTTTGCCACACAACCCTATGACACTCTTGGGCTTTATAGGTTTGGGTTGGCTGGAGGATGATGGCAGGAGTGAGAGATCCTTTTTGGTGGAGAAATTCCTCTTGGTGGCCTAAGCAAAGCTGTGGGTTTGCAGAAATTGCTACAAAAATGTTATCCAAGCAAAGGTTCACAGCGAGGAAAGCCCGTGCAGGTTTTGGGGAGGCTTTGTTGCCTGGGTGGCCCTGGGGTCTGTCCTGGGTGCTTGTCCCAACCTGGCAATGCAGAGAGGAGATGTTCTCCCTTCCACGCTCTCTCCCAGCAGGCGCAGGATGAGCTGTGCCTGCTCTCGAGCTCGCTCTGGATGGCCGGGGTGCCCCCTCTGCCATGGAACCACGGCATGGTTGGGGTTGGGACCTCAAAGCTCCACCCCATGTCATAGCCAGGGACACCTCCACTAGCCCAGGCTGCCCAGGGCCCAGCCAAACAGGCAGTTTTTGGTGACAGCAGTGGCCAGGACAGGCTCTGTGGACCTGGACATTGGTCTCAGCAGCAAAACCTCTGCCTGGGGCTGGAGGGTGACCAAAGACCCCAGAGCAACAGAGACCAGGCTGGTGATGTCACAAAAGCGCCACGGCTGGCCCAGCAGGAGGTTTCTGGAGACAGAGATGGTTCTGGGAGTGCAGAGCTGCCCCTGGTGCTTGCACTGCACTCAGCTGAGCCACTCCACCCCGAGCACACAGCAGAGCCCTCCATGGCATCTTCTGCTTTTCCCTGGGGAAGAGACAACCTGGAGATGCTTCATGAGCTAGAAATATTCCTCCAGGTGCTGATAACTGTGGGAAGTCTGTGGTAGCAACCAGCAAAGGATGCCATCTCCAGAACAGCCCAGGCAGAACTTTGTGCCTTTTTGTGCAGATATCACAGAAAAGCAGCACCACCCTGGGCTGCAGCTCCTGAACTGCAACTCCTTCATGGAAAACATCTTCACCTTCACCCCTACAAGGGCCTGCTGACCTCCCACCAACACTGGGGCAGCCTGGTGGCCCTGCAGGACAAGGACTGGTCGAGAGGACTTTCCCTGGTGGCCCCCAGACAATGGCGAGCTGTTCCTGGAGTGCCCCATACATTCCAGGATGCATTGGCCTCACAAGTTAAATATTTAGTCTTTCCTGAATCCAAATACTTCCCCAGCTCCTGGTTTTGTTGTTTTCACCCACAGGGCTTTGTTTCTCTGGACTGGAGCGGAGGGGTTTGGAGATAGGGACTCTATTCTTGGCAGAAAGGGGAGGATTATGAACATTCCTTATCTCGGGAGTGGATTTTATTGTGTGCCACTGCTCAGGGTAACCTTAAAATAAAAGTCCTGCTCTGCCAGTCTGGGCAGTGTTTTGGCTGCCAGCCACCTGCACAGGGCTGGGAGCAGAGACACAAGCCCGGGGTTACTGGGGCCACTTCCCCTCCTCCCCCAAAGCTCTGCCATGCACTCTTGAAGGGACTCACAAAGGATGGAGCATCCAGCGCATCCCTGCTGGGATTTGGAGCTTGATCTCCAGCAAACCAGGGGTTAAAGCCCTTTTGGCTGCTCCTCCAGCTGCAGGGAAAGGGGTAAGAATTCAGGGGTTTCAGAGGGAAAAGCATTTGCATTCCATGCAGAGAGTGTTCTCAGTCCTTGTGTTCCCAGAGTTTTCCCTAATCCCTGTGTTCCAAGTGTTCCCAATCCCTTTGTTCCAAGTGTTCCCAATCCCTGTGTTCCCAGATTTCCCAATCCCTGTGTTCCCTGTGTTCCCAGTCCCTGTGTTCCCAAAATTCCCAATCCCTATCTTCCCTGTGTTCCCAGTCCCTGTATTCCCAATGTTCCCTAATGCCTGTGTTCCCAGAGTTCCCAATCCCTGTGTTCCCAGATTTCCCAATCCCTGTGTTCCCAGAGTTCCCAATCCCTGTGTTCCCAGAGTTCCCAGTCCCTGTGTTCCCAGAGTTCCCAATCCCTGTGTTCCCAGAGTTCCCAGTCCCTGTGTTCCCAGAGTTCCCAATCCCTATGTTCCCTGTGTTCCCAATCCCTGTGTTCCCAGATTTCCCAATCCCTGTGTTCCCAGATTTCCCAATCCCTGTGTTCCCAGAGTTCCCAGTCCCTGTGTTCCCTGTGTTCCCAGTCCCTGTGTTCCCAGAGTTCCCAGTCCCTGTGTTCCCTGTGTTCCCAGTCCCTGTGTTCCCTGTGTTCCCAATCCCTATGTTCCCTATGTTCCCAGTCCCTGTGTTCCCAGAGTTCCCAATCCCCGTATTCCTAATGTTCCCTAATTCCTGTGTTCCCAGAGTGTTCCCAAAAAACCCTGTCGGGATGTTTCTTGCAGCACTTCTCACTGCAGAAGTTAAGGTCTAAGAGTTGAAGTGTTTGAGTTTTCACAGATTTTAACTGGCTGATCTGTGTGCACACGGGGTTTTTCCCTCTGAGTAGAGCAACAGGGCCACCCACCCATCCTTCCCGAGATCGCCAGGAACTCAGAGCTGTAAAACAAGAATTTGCAGTGCAGGTACAAAGCACCCAGGCAGGCAGGGAGAGGAGCAGCCTGTGTGCTCCGAGCGGGGCTGAGACAGGGAGGATTGTTTTGTACCAGCCCCAACACCCCCTCCCTGGGCTCCTTCAGCCTGACCCAACCTCAGAGAGGAAGCAGAAATCCACAGGAGCCTGATTCCCTGTGCTTTACTTTGAAAAGATGAGTTGGTTCTGCCCCAGTTCCCCACTCTTGGGCAGTGAGGAGCGGGGATTTGGGGTCACACAGAACTGTCTGTTCTGACTGGGGCTGGGTTGTATTCCGGGCATTTCCTCCTTTCCCCCGCACTCTCAGGAGCCTCTGTGACGGGCAGGTGACCCCCAAGAGCCCGTGCAAGCTCCAGGGCAGCCCAGCTCCTGATGGACCGTCCTGGTGTGGCCACAAGAACCCAAACCCAGCTCCCTGTGCCAGCCCGGAGCAGGCCCAGGCTGAACTCCAGGTAGACAACGACACCTGAAGGCAGCAGCTCGGCGCTCCCTGGGTCACCCTGCTGTTGGCACGGCTCTCCTCTCCTCTCCTCCTGCCAGCAGCCCACGGGCACGTCGGGTTAAACTTCACAGCGGCGCGGTTAATAATTAGCAGAGCTCAGGAAGGCCTTGCTGGCATCTCTGCTGCGAGAGGAGGTGTTAACAGCAGCACACCAGCAATGATAAATGCTCGGCACCCGCAGCAGCTGCAGGAGCTTCTCCCTGGCTCCAGCAGCACCTCCAGGGCTCCAGGCTGATGTCACCAGCGCCTGCAGGCTCCTCTTGCTCTCTGCTTTGCCACCTGCCTTCTGTTGTGGGACAGCAGAACAGGCTCCAGGGCGGAGGGGACAGTGCCCCCAGGCAGGGAACCTCGCTGGTGCTGGCTCCAGCTCAGGCAGGCAGCCCCCAGCACACCTGGTGTGAGCAATGATCCTCACTTCCAAGAATTTAAAAGGTTTATTAAAACCTTACTAAAAACACAACAGAAAGTGAATAGAGAAAACATCACAGCACCAGGAGCAGAGGGTTTCCCCACCATGTGCTCACCACACAGTGGGGGTTTCACCTTTTAACCCTTTGGCCCCTCCCAAAGTTCTGTCCATCGATTCCTCCTTCGCTGTCCAGGGCTGGGATCACTTCTGACATCCTGACTGGGGGTCAGCTGCTGCCATGGTAACGAGCCCCCCCTGCCAAATGTCCCAAACCCAGGGCAGCCCTGAGAACAACGCAAGGGGGGTAAAACATAACTATAAATCTATAAAACTTAACATAGATACAAGATATTTGCCTTTTAATTGTGAGACTCAACCATGGCATCACTCATCTGGCACCCTGGTGTGCATTTCCCCCTGTCCTGCTCTCCTGGGAGCTTCCCCAGCAGGGACATCTCCTCCTGTGTGTGTGACACTGCTCAGAGCTCTCTGAGCCTGCCCTGCCCACCTTGGCCTTGCTCCCCATCTGTTGGATTAAGCTTCTTTTTGATTTAGAGATGGGGTAATTGAGAGGTGTTTTTGAAACCTTTTATTCTATTTTTAAAACCTTTTATTCTACTTTATTTATTCTTTTTTTTAGTCTGAGAAGGGTGAAACAATACAGAAGTTATAATTTATGTTGTTACAATCAGAAGTCATTTATCTTTTAATTATAATACATTATAAGTGTTTCTTGGCTTATCAGTTTTAGCTACACTATGCTGTAAATGCTTTAAAACTAATTATTTTAAATTACCTTTTGTGGGGTTTTCTACAATGTATTTTTTATAGTTTTATTTCTCTAAAGTATTTTGTCTTATTTGTAAGGCTATTTTTTGAAACTTGTTTCTAGTTCTAGTTCTCTCTTAACAATGCTTGTCCTATTTTATGGCATTTTTAAGCCAGCATTTCTCATGCTAAGGTTTGTGTACAGATGTATACTACGTGAGTTTTCTGTCCTGAAATTATCAGCTGGTCGTTACGCCCATCCTGGCATTGGGGAGCATTCCCACCACTGTCCAGAGGAGCTCTGGCCTTCCCTGTCCCCTCACCACCCTTCTGGCGATGTCCCTCCGTGACCAGGATGTCCCAGGAGCTCTGTGGGCTGCAGCTCTCTGCTGCTACCTACTCCATCAATCCCTTTCCTTGCTTATTTTCATCCCAACTTCATCTTTCTCCATTTCATCCACAGCCTCCCTCATTTGCAGACGGTTCCAGCCCTGCTCCTTGTGTTTATGTGCATTTGCTGCCAACCTTCAGCCTCCTTCACACTTCCCTTTGCTTTGCTTTTATGGCCTTTTATGATGTTTGTGTTACATCGAGGCTCTTTCCCTTTTTATCCCCTCCCCGCCCCTGGATAATTATTCCTCCATCCACGGCTTTTATTGCCTGCCTTTATCACGGTGTTTCTGAGGGTGGCAGGAGTGTCTGGGACACGGGCGCAGGCACGGGCAGGACTGGCCCTGCTTTGCTGGTGGGTTCTGTCCTTTTCCTGATGGACTTTCCCCTGCAGACCCTGAACCCCCTCAGGTGCATTTTTGTCTGTCTCATCATGGGCTGGGAGAGGTGACAACGTGCCCTGAATTACAGAATTCCCGAGGACCATCCACTCAAACCATTCCTGTGGTTCCTGCAGCCGCAGTCTTGGGGTGTGAGAAATGATCCTCACTTTCAAAAATTTAAAAGGTTTATTAAACCTTATCGAAAATACAACAGAAGAATGAATAGAGAAAACATCACAGCACCAGGAGCAGAGGGTTTCCCCACCATGTGCTCACCACACAGTGGAGGTTTCACCTTTTAACCCTTCGGCCCCTCCCAAAGTTCTGTCCATCGACTCCTCCTTCGCTGTCCAGGGCTGGGATCACTTCTGCCATCCTGACTGGGGGTCAGCTGCTGCCATGGTAACGAGCCCCCCCTGCCAAATGTCCCAAACCCAGGGCAGCCCTGAGAACAACGCAAGGGGCAGGGGGGGATCTATAAATCTAACTATAAGTAACTATAATCATAACTATAAATGTATAAAACACTTCTTAACATATACATAATATTTGCCCTCTAGTTGTGAGAGTCAGCCATCACATTACTCATCTATCACAGGGGAAAAGGAAGAGCCAGACCTTGGCATCAGCAGAGGCACGAGGTCATCTCTGCTCCCTGTGTGGGCTGGGAGGCAATGGCAGCCCCTTGGGAATGCTGGTTTCTCCTGGCAGACAGCCTCTGGAGCTCAGCAAGCACCTCTCATCCCCAGAGGAATCTGACCCAGCCCACGGGTGATGTCAACCCACACTGACAACGGGCAAGTGGCTGATCGGAAATAGGGGCAGAGGGGTTGGATGTTCTCCTTTGCATCCCCAGAGCTCCTCCCCACATCAGGAGTGAGGAGATAACCATCACCACCCTCCATCAATGATGCTCCTCGCCTCAGTCTTGTTGCTACCCAGGAGAATCCAGCCCCAGGACTGTGTTCAGCTGGCTCAGGTTTGTCCCTGCAGGAAGGGTGGCCAAGAAATGTCCACATGAAGATTGTCCACTCCCCACAGCTCCTGGAAGGGGCCTGTGGCCAGCTGGGGCTGGGCTCTTTCTCCAGGAGCTGACAGAACCAGAGGTCACAGCCTCAGCTGCCCCAGGGAAATCCAGGTTGGATGTCAGGAGAAAGTTTTTCATGGCAAGAGTGACAAAGTTCTGGAATGGCT